CTCCATGCCCTTGTGTCCAACCTGGCCTTGAGCACTGCCAGGGATGGGGCAGCCACAGCTTCTCTGGGCACCCTGTGCCAGCGCCTCAGCACCCTCACAGGGAAGAGCTTCTGCCTTGCATCCAACCTGAATTTCCCCTGTTTCAGTGTGAACCCATCACCCCTTGTCCTATCACTGCAGTCCCTAATGAAGAGTCCCTCCCCAGCATCCTTGCAGCCCCCTTCAGACACTGGAAGCTGCTCTGAGGTCTCCACGCAGCTTCTCTTCTCCAGGCTCAACAGCCCCAATGTTCTCAGCCTGGCTCCATACAGGAGCTGCTCCAGCCCCTGAGCATCCTCGTGGCCTCCTCTGGACTTGCTCCAACAGCTCCATGTCCTTCTGACGTTGAGGACCCCAGCACTGCACCCAGTGCTGCAAGTGGGATCTCCCCAGAGCAGAGCAGAGGGGCAGGATCACCTCCTTCAGAGACCCCCTGCACCAGGGATGAAACAGGGGCGAATCAGGGTGACACTTGTGGGGCATTCCGGTAGCATCCTTGTTGGAGGCACTTTGGTGCCTGGAGTGAAAGTCCCTGCCAGGGAAACTGGGGCATGGGGCTGGTGGAGGCTTCCTGCTGTAGGTGAGCAAACTGGGAGCGGTTTGTGCCTTCGTGTTCTGTGCTTTGGGGTCTTGCAGGTGCATTAGTCCCTCTCTAGACACGGGTCAAGGCTTTACCTGCAGTAGGGACTCACTTCTATGGACTCTTAGTGTCCTGTAGCACATCTTGGGGGCTTGGAGCAAGCTGCTCTAGTGGAAGGTGTCCCTGCCCATGGCAGGGGTTGTAGCTGGAGGAGCTTTAAGATCCCTTCAACCCAAGGCATCCTGTGCTTCTATGGGTCTATGACCCCATGCTTCTATGATTCTTGTATTCAAGAAGAAACTGGTCAGATGGGACCTGTTCTTGGAGGCATTTACAGTGGGGAACACCCCCCTTTCCACCTCTACTCCTGCTTCCAGGTCCCTTGGGGCCACCTCCAAGCACAGAGCAATCAGCAAGCTCAGGCTGTGTCTCCACGGTGGCATGGACCACACTGGTCCGTTGTCATCTCCTTACCTAGGGAAGGAAAACAAGGTGATGGCATCACCCTGCTCATTTGGTCCTGCAGCTTTGTAAACCCACTGCAGCTCAAGAGCCCTCTCTGGCAAAGCAGAAGTGAAACAAGGTGACTTTTGTGAGCCTGCCACTGCTGAAGATGCAATAATCGAGGTGACTGAGCCGCACAGGAGCAACTGACTGCCACAAACGGCTTTTGACTCTGAGTGGAGGGGGAAGAGCTCCAAGGTTTGACCTCAGAGAAGGAAATTGTTAAACTGGCATGGGAAAAAATGATCCAAACTTTTAAACCTCATCCATTTATCCATCCATCCATCCATAAATCCATTCCTCCATCCATCCATCAATCCATTCATCCATCCATCCATCCATCCATCCATCCATCATCCATCCATCCATCCATCCATCATCCATCCATCCATCCATCATCCATCCATCCATACATCCATCATCCATCCATCCATCATCCATCCACCATCCATCCATCCATCATCCATCCATCATCCATCCATCCATCATCCATCCATCCATCCATCCATCCATCTATGCATCCATCCATCCATCATCCATCCATCCATCCATCCATCCATCCATCCATCCATCCATCATCCATCCATCCATCATCCATCCATCCATCCATCCATCATCCATCCATCCATCCATCCATCCATCCATCCATCCATCCATCATCCATCCATCATCTACCCATCCAGCCATCCAGCCATCATCCATCCATCAATCCATTCCTCCATCCATCCATCCCTCCATCCATCTGTCCATCCCTCCATCCATTAACCCCTCCCTCCCTCCCTCCCTTCATCCATCCATCCATCCATCCATCCATCCATCCATCCACCCATCCATCCATCATGCACCCACCCCTCCATCCATTCCTCCATCCATCCATCCATCCACCCACCCCTGCATCCATCCATCCACCATCCATCCATCAACCATGCACCCATCCCTCCCTCCCTCCCTCCCCAAACATGCTGCTGCCTCAGGTCCAAGCCCTGGCACCACACTCTGAGAGGCAGACAAGTGTCTGCTGCTGCCCATGGTTGCCAGGCAGCTTTCATGTCACCATCAGGCCCTCTGCACCCATGAATCAAGCTGCTTTCGAGGGCTGGACCCAAACCAGGGCTCCACTTGTGATTAAATGCTTGGAAGAAGCAGCCAACTGGCCTGGGAGCCTGCAAGCTGAGCGGGGCCGCGGTGCATGGAGGTAACTTCATCTCTTCACCCGCAGTGTAATTCATGAGGATGCTGCAAGCAGGGAAGAATGAAGCTGTTTTCTCACCCTTTGGCTATGAGAAATGATGGTTTCTTCTTCTTTTTTTTGGAGTTTTGTGGAGCTTTATTCCTTTTTCTTCTGGGTTTCTGCAGTTTCCAGCCCCATTGTCCCCGTTCTTGTGTGGTTTCCTGTAAGCAAACGTCCTGCATGGCTGGAAATAGGGGTTTGCTGAGTTGTGAAGGGGCTTGGAACAAGCTATGGGGACAATGTAAAGAGCTGATGGCCCTGCCTTGGCAGAGGGGATGGACTATGTGATATCCAGAGCTCACTTCCAACCCTAGTGATTCTGTGTTTCTATGTGGGGGATAGGAAGCAAAATGCTTCTGCCTGTGTCTCTGGTGGCATCCACCCCAAAACTGACTCAAATCTCCACCACTGCAGATGCAACGTGGCCCCATAGTGCTGTGCTTAGGCTAGGTGATGTGGGCAGCTGGTGGCCACCTTCTCTGAAGGAATAACTTGGAGAATCAAGTGCTTGAAGCCATCAACTCAATGAGGAGCTCAGGGCTGCTGGCAGGCTCATAGGGATTGAGTTGGAAGGGACCCATAAAGAGCATCATAGACCCATAAGGCTGCCCTTCCCAATGGTCACAGGGTCTGGCCATGGTAGAGTGTTGCTTGGGTCTATCCTGAGTTGGGCTGGTTCAGCTTGGAGAAGAGAAGGCTCCTGAAGGGGAGACCTGAGAGCAGCTCCAGTGCCTAAAGGGGCTGCAGGAAAGCTGGAGAGGGGCTTGGGACAAGGGCCTGTAGGGCCAGGCCAAGGGGAATGGCTTGAACCTGCCCGAGGGGAGACTGAGATGAGCCCTTGGCAGAAGCTCTTCCCTGTGAGGGTGCTGAGGCGCTGGCACAGGGTGCCCAGAGAAGCTGTGGCTGCCCCATCCCTGGCAGTGCTCAAGGCCAGGTTGGACACAGGGGCTTGGAGCAAGCTGCTCCAGTGGAAGGGGTCCCTGCCCATGGCAGGGGCTGGGACTAGAGGAGCATTAAGGTCTCTTCCAATACAAACCAGTCTGGGATCCTATGGTCAGGAGCTGAAGGAGGGATGTCTGCCCACTGCACTGTTTCCGTATGGGTTTTGCCTCAGTGGTAGGAGAAACGCGTTAAGCAGCAGCACCTCCAGCTTTGGCAAGGTGGGACAGCACTGGCCAGGCTCTCTAAATCCCTGCTTTGCCCCTGGTGCCAGAGCAGAGCATGGGATGGCCATAAACTAACACACAACAAGATTCTCCTCCACAGGAGGAACAACTCCTTTACACTGAGGGGTATCAGAGCCCGGGCAGGGGCTGCCCAGCGGGGTTGTGGAGTCTCCATCTCTGGAGGCATTCAAACCCCACCATGGACACGGTCCTATTTAACCTGCTCTGGGTGGCCCTGCCTTGGCAGGGGGTTGATCTCCAGACGTCCCTTCCAGCCCTAATGGTCCTGTGATGGTTTCAGCATCACTGGGGTGGTGAATGCCACTGGGCTCGTTTTGGGCACCTTGGAGGAGTCCTTCCAGCAGCACAGCAGGCTCAGCACCCACCAGCTTGCCTGTATTCACATGATGGGCAGCAGGCGCTGGGCCCCATGCCTTCAACACCAGCCCTTTCCCCTCTCCCCACATCCCCAGGGCTCCACAAGGTTTTAAGAGACCCATAAATGCTTCAGGGAGCGTAAATATCTCCACTACCTTGAGCAACGTCATCGCCCAAACTACCTCAAATCCCCTCGATGACATAACCCTTAAATCACCTCCAGCTTTTAGTGGGGCTTTGGGCACCGAAAGCACCAATAACACACACATTCATGGAAGAGCTTAACCCATGGAATGTCCCCCCTGGCTGCTTGGGGACGCATCACAAGAGAGCAGGAGCTGGGCTGTGGTGGGAGTTATGGGGTCTGTGTTCCTGCATGTTCAGTTGGGGTCAGAGCTTGGTCCTGCAGGACCAGCGATGCTTTTTGATGTGAGCGTTAGGGATGCCTGAGTCGGGTTTCCTGGCCATAGTCCTGTGGGGAGTATGGGCATGATCTGGGCATGGTTTTGTCCCCCAGGTCCTGCTGTGGGCTGGCCTCATCCTGCCAAAGAGTTATAGAATCATCGAATAGTTTGGGTTGGAAGTGACCCCAAAGCTCATCCAGTCCAACCCCTTGCAATGAGGAGGGACATCTTCATCTAGATCAGGTTGCCCACAACCACATCCAGCCTGGTCTCATGTATTTCCAGGGATGAGGCATCCATCACCTCTCTGGGCAACCTGTGTTGGTGTTTTACCATCCTCATTGTAAGGTCCCTGATGAAGAGTCCCCTTCAGCATCCTTGTAGCCCCCTTCAGACACTGTCCCAGCTCTTCTCATCCCAGAGGAGAGCCCCCATAAGGACCATCCCATTGTCTCACATAGCTTCTGGTTGTCTTTCAGGGCCGGACGTGTTCTGTGACTTCAATGGCAAGAAGTACAGCCCTGGTGAGAGCTGGCACCCCTACCTGGAGCCGCAGGGGCTGATGTACTGCATCCGCTGCAGCTGCTCCGAGGCAGGTCCCACCGAGGTGCCCCGCGTGGTGGTGGGGATGCTGCTGCAATGGGCATTGACTTGGCAGCTTTAAAGCAGATCAGGTTTAAAGCAGGTCTAATTTGACCAGAAAAGCCCTTTCCAGTCCCATAAGGACATTGGATTCATCTATTTCCCTTTGAAAATACCCCCTGTCACCATAGGGTGGTGGGGTCACCTTATGAGGGAGCTATCTCAGTAGTGTTGGTGGGCTGTAGGCTCCGGGCTGCAGTGGGACCATGGGTGGTATTTGATGATGAGACCATGAGCTGGTTGGGTTTGACCTGGGGATGGAGACCACCTTGGCTGGGTTGACCTGAGGATGGAGACCTCCATAGCTGGGTTGACCTGAGGATGGAGACCTCCATGGCTGGGTTGACCTGAGGATGGAGACCTCCATGGCTGGGTTGACCTGAGGATGGAGACCTCCATGGCTGGGTTGACCTGAGGATGGAGACCTCCATGGCTGGGTTGACCTGAGGATGGAGACCTCCATGGCTGGGTTGACCTGAGGATGGAGACCTCCATGGCTGGGTTGACCTGAGGATGGAGACCTCCATGGCTGGGTTGACCTGAGGATGGAGACCTCCATAGCTGGGTTGACCTGAGGATGGAGACCTCCATGGCTGGGTTGACCTGAGGATGGAGACCTCCATAGCTGGGTTGACCTGAGGATGGAGACCTCCATGGCTGGGTTGACCTGAGGATGGAGACCTCCATGGCTGGGTTGACCTGAGGATGGAGACCTCCATAGCTGGGTTGACCTGAGGATGGAGACCTCCATAGCTGGGTTGACCTGAGGATGGAGACCTCCATAGCTGAGTTGACCTGAGGATGGAGACCTCCATAGCTGGGTTGACCTGAGGATGGAGACCTCCATAGCTGGGTTGACCTGAGGATGGAGACCTCCATGGCTGGGTTGACCTGGGGATGGAGACCTCCATGGCTGGGTTGACCTGAGGATGGACACCTCCATAGCTGGGTTGACCTGAGGATGGAGACCTCCATAGCTGGGTGAGCTACACCAGCACAATCTGTTGTGATAACGTGCCCATTATCCAACATCTCCCTCCTCTTGCAGGGGTGAACATGGAGCTGAATGAACCTTCTCTGTCTCTATCTCTCCCCAGAATGCCAACATCAGGTGCTACCGGATCCAGTGCCCAGCTCTGCAATGTGCCAGCTCCATCACGGACCCCCAGCAGTGCTGCCCGCGGTGCCTTGGTAGGTGGACATCTCATGAGGAGAGGGTGACAAGGCGCCCATGGTCCTGCAATCGCTGGGCACCCTGTACCTTCACCTCACCCTCACAGGGAAGAACTTCTTCCTTGTCTCCAGCCTAAACTTCCCCTGTTCCAGTCTGAACCCATCACCCCTTGTCCTATCACTGCAGTCCCTAATGAAGAGTCCATCCCCAGCATCCTTGCAGCCCCCTTCAGACACTGGAAGCTGCTCTGAGGTCTCCACGCAGCTTCTCTTCTCCAGGCTCAACAGCCCCAATGTCCTCAGCCTGTCAACCCCTTCCAGCTTTCACCTGTGTGCTGAGCTCAGCAGGCTCAGGGCAGCCCCATTCTCCCAAAGCTTTAGGACCATGCGTGCCCTGGCCACTTCTTCTTGGGGTTTCAACAGCTCCTCACCCTTTTGGCTTGGCTTGGTGGGGAAGCTGCTGAGCATCCGGGTGATACCGGTGCCTGGCTCTCATCCTGTTGCTTCCTCATCTCTTGCAGAGCCACATTCCCCCTCTGGCCTGCGGGCACCCCTCAAGTCCTGCCAGTACAACGGGACAAGCTACCAGCAAGGGGAGATGTTCACCACCAGTGAGCTGTTCCCCAGCCGCCAGCCGAACCAGTGTGTGCAGTGCAGCTGCTCTGTGAGTGACCAGAGAGCCATGGGGTGGCAGGGGGGGCTCGGGGTCTGCTCCTGCACCCCAACAGTGTCCCACCAGGGCACAGGCCTCATGGAGGACCATTGGGCGCATCCATGGTGGGATGGTTTGTCATCAGGATGGGGCTGTCAGTGCAGGAGGTTGAGCTTCATCTGAAATGGTGCTGGGTTCTCCCACTGCAGAGATGGATGCTTCCCTCTCTTTGATCCCAAGCAGGGTCCATTGGGCCCTGAGGTTGGAGCACAAAGCACTCTCCTGCATCTCCTTCCCAATGGGAGCAGCATGAACAAGCTGCTCCAACAGTGGGTTATTCACTGGAGATCCCACAGCCCAGTTCTGGGGGTCCTTGGGGTGGGCAGGGGACAGCCCTATCCCCACTGAGCACAATAGGGCTCTTTGCCTGCTGTGGGGACCAGGGCTCTGGGGCTCTCTATGCAGCATCCAGCTACCCCACCTGCCCCACTGAGGCATCCTATGGCAGATGGACAGCAGAGAGGACACCCAGGAGCCTTTCCACTTGTGTTCTAGCTGCAGAACAGATGGAGTTTGTAACTGGGAGAGCTCAGGGTGCTTGGAACACAACCCCAACAGGAGGTACCGGCTCTTGGGCTTGCTGGGATGTGGAGCTGGTGAGATTGAGTGAGCTCCAGAAAGGATCTGATGGCTCCAAACCACTGCTGGGTGCCTGGATCCCATGGTGGCACCAGCAGCCAGCTCCTGCCCTGCATGGATGGAGCTCAGCACCCCTTGATCTTCACCCTGTTTGCTTGGATTTGAGTGGAAGCTGAACCCAGAGCTGAGATGAGCTTGAGACCAGGAGCTGGGCTCCTCTGGAACCCCCTGCAGCATCTTCATCCCCAGCCTCTGGGCCATTGTGTGCAGAGCCATGGCCAGGAGAAGGACCATGCATGTGCTTGCCAGGCTGCCTACATAAAGCATCTACAGGAAGCCTCTGCCTTTTACACCCAACTGCAATGACTGCATGTCCTCGATGGTCCTGCTCGCCCTGCCTGAGGGCTGTGATAGAGGCCAGGATGCTGAGTGCTCCTCAACGCGCATGGAGTGCCCATTGCCAGCAGTGGAGGGATGCTCCATGAGCCTGCAGCAATGCTGTGAGACCGGACCTGGCTGCGTTGTGCCCAGAGCTCTTCCAGAGGCTGGGATCCTGTGGAACCCCATCAAAACCAAGTCCTGACAGGGCTGCCTTGGGAGCTGGCAGCAGCTCTGAGGAAGGTGTGTGGAGCGTGGAGCCCTGCCTGCCAGGAGCTGAGTGTCAGCATATGAATGGAGCAGCTCCTCCTCCCAAGGAAGGGGGATTGGAGGTGCTGATGCTGGGCTTGGATGCCGGGAGGAACTGCTCATGCTGGCTGCAAGCCTCTGCCATAACAGAGGGCTGCAGACATGGCTTTCACCACCCCTCATACAGAGCCTTTGCATGGGACCAGGCTCCACGGGTCTGCGCTTTGCTTCCAGCAAGTAATTGGCCTAAGCTTGGCCAGGAAAGAACGAAGGGAAAGCCCAAATCACCTCCTTCTCTCATGCCAAGAGCACGCACGCTGTGGTTGCCATCAGCTTGATAGCAAAGTACGTGTAAAGCTGGTCTGAGCCCCTTGTGCTTGTGCACACCTGGGAGGAATAGCTTAGGTGTAGGAATCACACGGCTTCTGAGGCTGCATCCGTCCATATGGACCCCAGCTGGGTGCCAAGCCCATCACCTAGCGACAAACACCGGGAGGGAGCCCTTGAATCCAGCTCTATGTGCAGGCCTGGCCCTGCTTTCCCATCTCATCCCATCCAATCCCATTCATCCCATCCCAACCCATCTCATCTCATCGCATCCCATCCAATCCCATCCCATCCCATCCCATCCCATCCCATCCCATCCCATCCCATCCCATCCCATCCCATCCCATCCCATCCCATCCACCACTGTCCCCAGGAGCTCCGTGTCCCTGTCAGAGGCACTGGCCCTCCCTCAGGCTCTGTTTATCCAGCAGGATAATGCCTTGGATACGAAGAGGAAAATAGAGGGATGGAGTGTGGCAGGGGCTGTGTCTGATGCGCTCAGCTGCTGGAACAGCTGCAGGAACAGCTGGTCTAAACCTCCCTGAGACCTCCCAGAGACCAGATCCGCTGGGATAAATCCTGCTTTTTATCCCACTTGCTCTTGGAGCAGGTCTTTGCCATGAGCCTCTGCTCAGGAGGAGGAGGAGGAAGGAAGAGGCTGCGTGGCCAAACCCTGCTCCATGCAGGTCTGCATCCCATGGAGGGCCCTGAAGCAGAAGCATGGTTTGGGGTTGCTCCATCCTCCACCACATCCTCTCATTGACCAAACCTCCTTCCTCCTCTTCACATCCCTTTCCCAGCAGTTTGGCTTCCTGGTGGGAGAAGAAGCTGCTGTGGCTTGGTTTGCTATGGGTATCATTGGTTAACCTCTTGGGTTGACTGAGAGCTTGTGGATATGGATGTTCATAGAGGAGAGGACCTTGCTGTTGAGGTCTGGTTGCTGCTGTGCTGCTGAACATCCTTTTTTACCCTCCTGCAAAGCAGCAAAACCTCATCCCTGTGGCAAACAAGTGCAAATCCACTGACTGAGGTGGGACTGGGATGCAACAAGGTCAAGATTGGCCTTGAATCACTATAGGAATGATGTTTCCTGAACTCACCAGCAAGCCAATGGAAGGTCTGCATCTACACCTCCATCCATAGCTCTTGCTCCAGTGTCCTTGTGTGCTTGGCTCTGGTGCTATTGGATAACCCAAGAGGGAGGGCAGAGCTGTGGAGCTGGGGCTGGTTTCAGCACCATCACTCTCCCCCTTTCCACTTGCCTCCTCCAGGTCCTTGTCCTGGGAGATGCCAGAGGAAAGGCTCTTGTCCCTCTTTAAGCTGGTGGCTGTTGTGCAGCCTTTACAAGTGTGTGGTGGCCATTTCAATGTGGCAGCGCTGATGATGCTTGAGAGGAAGGCACTGCCTCCTCTTCCTTGGGGAAGACCACCGTGCCCTTGTTCTTGGCCATGAGCATGCCAAGAGAGGACACCACAGACCATGTTCTACCCCCCAGGATGGAGCTTGCATGGACAGATCTTCATCTTTCATCAGCTGATAGATGATTGATGGTAGTTGATGGATTACGGGGTGGCTTTTGATTTAGGGTCGATCTGACACCCAACACACGGGACATACAGCCCTGTCCATCTCTTCATGACGCTGATGATGCTTTTGTTCCTCCTGCTCTCCTAGGAAGGCCAGATCTACTGCGGCTTGGTGACCTGCCCGGAGCTCTTGTGTTCCTCTCCCCTCACCGTGCCGGATTCCTGCTGCCAGGTCTGCAAAGGTAATGAAAGGCCCAGGAGATGCTCTTACATGAGATCTGGGAGATCCCATACGGTTGCCACCAGCTGGCAGGAGCCATTTGAAGCCATTTGAGCAGGATTTGGGAAGCCTGTGCTGTAAATCAGAGCTGTTCCTCTGTCTTGGTTGCACCATGAAACTAAAGATGAGGGCTTCTCCTCCACATCTGCTTGTGTGCTGCCTCCCTGCATCCCATACACAGGGGAGTGAGGAGGGCATCAAGCTCCATGTCTCCAGATGAGACAGACTCAGGAGCGAATGAGCAGGTTCACTCCTTGCTGACAACGAGCTCACAGCACAGAAGGTCTCTTTACCACGAAGCTGGAAGGCCGTGGTGGTCTCCTGGCCATGGACATAGAACGAGCTCCTTCCAAACTCTCCTCCTGTGCAGTTTGTGTTCCTACCTCTTAGTTTTTGGTGCAGCTGGGGCCTGTCCTTGACTTGCTGGGAAATGTCTTTGGATTTCTTTTCTTTTTAATCAGAGAGCTCAGAGCAGCTTCCAGTGTGTGAAGGGGGCTACAAGGATGCTGGAGAGGGCTCTTCATTAGGGACTGCAGTGATGGGACAAGGGGAATGGGTTCAGACTGAAACAGGGGAAGGTCAGGTTGGAGATAAGGGAAAAGCTCTTCCCTGTGAGGGTGCTGAGGCGCTGGCACAGGGTGCCCAGAGAAGCTGTGGCTGCCCCATCCCTGGCAGTGCTCAAGGCCAGGTTGGACACAGGGGCTTGGAGCAAGCTGCTCCAGTGGAAGGGGTCCCTGCCCATGGCAGGGGTTGGAGCTGGAGGAGCTTTAAGCTCCTTTCTAACCCAAACCAGTCTGGGATTCTATGGTTCTATCTCCATCACCTCATACGTTAACTCTGGGGTGTTTTCATGCCACCTCCCTTCAGAACCCCCAAGGCCACGTCCTTCTTGGAGCTGAGCTGTTGTTAACAGCGGGGATAAAAGAGTGTTTGGGGTATGGTTCCCATCTGATGGGTATTCAAAGCTCCACTGCACTCACAGCACCATGAAGGGAGCTGCTTGCGGTCAAGGAGAGCAGATCCTCACCCGGCCCCGCAGCGTTTCACAGGACAATGCTTTCCCTTGCAGATGGCTCACAGGAGAAGTCCATGGAAGAGGAGCCCCTGCAGTTAAACAGAGGTGTTGTACGTGATGTTTGAATCTTAAACCTCAGCGCAGCCCCATTGCACAGCTCAAAGAAAGCCATTTGCCCTTGGCCATAGTCTTCTACAAAGGAATGAGCAGCTCTAGGTAGAATCACAGCCCCTGGTTTATAGATGAACCCTCTATGGGAGGGTTCTCAGCATAGGCTGAGACCTCAGACCACCGAGGAAAGACCCTTGTCCTCTTCCTCTGAAGCATCTCCAGTGTCTTTGGAACTGGAAACCTTGGGCACTTCCCGTTGTTGGGAAGTTGAGGTTGGAGCAGCTGAGGAACACAGACAGAGGAGACCCAGATGTAACCAACAGCCAGATGTGACCCTTACCCATAGTCAGATGGCCCAAAGCTATCTTTGGGTGCTTTTGCATCAGGAGATGGTGTCTCCTCTCCACCCTAGGCTCAAGGGTCTCCAGTCACAGAGCATCCAGTGCCTGTTTGTAGCAGCAGCTCCAGCAAGGAAGAAGTGACTCCTTGGCTCCAAGGGTTGATTCCTGGTGGCGTTGCAGAGCTGGGCAGCCCATGGCACTCCTGTGGGATTAAGTCCCAGCCCCTGACCCTGCCCTTTTCCATGCTGCTGGGTGCAGCGCCAGCATCACACCTCCACCACCGCTAAACCCTCCAAACCAGGCACAAGGGAACCCTTTGTGCTGCATGGCTTGTCCCAGCAGCTTGCTCTTTGGAAGCCTGGGATGCTCCTTGGGATTCCAGTCCTGTTGGCTCCACACCAACCCTCCTGGTGCTGCCAGGTGGGAGGGCAGGATATGGCCCATCCTTACCTCTCTGATCCTGTTTGGATAGCATGGATCCCAGTTTCCCAGCAAGCACCTAGGAAAGACCTAGCCTATGCTGGTGATGTAGGACCTCACTTGCTTCTCTGAGGGCATTGGGTTGATGCCCCAATGAGGCTGACCCACACGCAACATAGGGAGGACACCAGTGCGGGGCACTGACACTGCTCAGCACTGCTTAAGTGGTTACAGCTCATCCCTGTCTCTGGGCCTTCCTCTCCCAATGGAAGGTGTGTAGGACACTGCATGGCTCTGGAGTGAGAACAACCCCACTGCCCGGGTCTGAGTCCCCTTCTCTCCTCTCTCTGCTCACAGAGGCACTCACAGGACCAGTGCCTGGGGGAAGCCATGGGCAGGAAGCCTCCCGGAGCCACTGTGGCCACTGCCCTCAGCTCTTCCCTGGAGTTCGTGCCCAGGAGCTTCAAACCCAAGGGAGGAGGTGGCACCACCGTGAAGATCGTCTTGAAAGAGAAGCACAAGAAAGGTGAGGGGTGGAGGGGATGGGCCGGGTGTGCATGGAGGAAGGGGGCTTCTCCAGGACATGGAGCGCTCCAAGGAATCTGGTTTAGGAGCAGGTTTCCACCACCGAGTCCTTCCTATTCCTCCACAGCCATTCTCACCCAGCTATCTCAGCCCTGGTGGCCCATACAGTCTTGATGGCATGTTCAAAGCCAGGTTGGATGGAGTCTTGGGTGACATGGGTTAGTTTGAGGTGTCCCTGCCTGTGGTAGAGGGGTTGGAACTGGATGATCTTAAGGTCCTTTCCATCCCAAACCATTCCATGATTCTATGATGCTAATCTACTGCTTTCTAAAAGGGGTTGGGAGATGGTTGGTCCTTGGGGTGTTTTGGAGATCTGGGCCCTGGGAAAGGAGATGTTCAGCTGGAAGATTCCATATGGTCCTTCCAGGACAGTGCTGCAGAGAGACAGGATGATGCTCCTTGCACCTACCATGGGCTGGGTCTATCTCAGTGCTGTGGTCTTCCTCCTGGAGGAGGGAAAGAGAGCTGAGGAGGTAACCCTCATGGAGATAAAGGTGATGAGGAGGTAACCCCATGGATGCAGAGGGGAGAAGCCAGCTCATTCCTCCTGCTGGGGCTCTCCCACCCCTATGTCTCCAAAGGGCTCTTCCCAGTCGTTGGAGATGAAGCCCTGGAGGAAGCTGTGGGACCTCCAAACGTGTTCGTGGAGGAGTCAGCAGGTGGCACTCTTCACTGTGCTTCATGCCTGGGACTGCCTACGAGGACCCTGGGCTTCAGAGCCTTGGAGGACAATGAGGTCCTGCCCACACTCACCCCATCGGGGAGGTTGTCCCCAGCAGCACCCATCTCCTGCAGCTTGGTCCCCTGCCCCATAGAGTCAATTGGGTTGGAAAAGACCTTTAAACTCACCCAGTCCAACCCTTCCCAGCACTGCCAAGGCCACCACTGAGGCCCTGAGGTCTCATCTACACGTTCCATGGCACCTCCTTAGTGGGGTGGCTGCAGTATCCCCTTTGCTGCTGGATGTGCTGCTAAAGGACCATGCTCCTCAAGAGAGCGGGGCCACCCGCTTCAGAGGTGTGAAACGCGTTGGGCTCCACCAAGCATTGGCTTTGCAAAGAGGAGGTGGATTTATTTCCACCCTTTCCTTTCTCTCCTGCAGCCTGTGTGTACAACGGGAAGACCTATTCCCATGGGGAAGTGTGGCATCCCGTCTTCCGGCTCTACGGCCTCCTGCCCTGCATCCTTTGCACTTGCAGGGATGGCGTCCAGGACTGCCAGAAGATCACCTGCCCCAAGGAGTACCCGTGTGAGCATCCAGAGAAAGTAGATGGGAAATGCTGTAAAATATGTCCAGGTAGGTGAGATCCCCATTTCTCCTGCAGGTACCTTCCAGCTCCTTCCTTTAGCCTTAGTTTGAAGCCCCAGGCAGATGTGTTCGCATCACTGGTCGCTTGAATTGACATCAGCTCAGCAGGGCAAGCACCAGTGTAAGGGTTGGTCTTGAAGGGCAGCAGGACTGACCCAAGGTGAGGAAGGCGCATCGATCCCATAAGGATGGATCTGTTGGGTGGCTGTAACCTGGAGAAAGATGCTCAAGGAAGGATGTGATAGGAGTCTTCAGATACATAGAAGATGTTTTCTGGGGAGAAGGTCTGTTCTCCAGAGCTTCAACTGGGACAAGAAATCATAGGGTTAAATTGTGGCAGCTGAAATTAGGAGGAAACTTCCCAACTGTGGTGTTACCTGTGGCACTCATGGCTTGATTGAACTGGAGTTGAATTCCCCAGTCCTGGAAGGGGAAGGTTTGGCACACAACTATTGGGGTGCTCCAGGTAGAACTGGGCTGATGCTGGGGCTGGGACATGGTGGAGAGGACCTCTTTATTTCTCATGTGGGTCTCTTGGCTGCTTCTTGCTCATTGGAAAGCTGTTCACCTTGAACCACACACCTGGCAAAGATGGGGCAGAGCAGATCTGTTCCCACTGCAGAGCATCCCTGTCATTCAGCAGTTTAGCTGAGGGACCACCCAGTGCTTCCCTGGAGACACTAAAGGTACCTGAGCACCCCTGAGCATCTCTGCAGATGCAGCGCTTCCTGGCTGGTCTCCGATGTGCATCCTCAAGGTGGTCCCCTAGAGGGGTCTCAGCAGGGAAGACCCAGCAAAGGGCATCGCCACACTTCAGAATGGGGGCTGAGAAGTGGGATTTTCCAGGGTTTCCAGCCTCTGAGCAGGGATGTTCTGAGCGAGCGAAGGGCAGAAGCTCAGCTTGTTTTAATAAGGTTTCTGATGTGTTTATGAGCAGGATTTATGACGTGGTGCCTGGTGGGAACGGGATGTGATGACTGAGCAGAGCCCTTCCAGTCTCGCATTCCCATTATAGTGGCTCTTTCTGCTTTCAAGTCTACAACTTTCTCTGCTGGGATCTCTCGTCTGCTCAGCCTTCATTTATTTCCAGTTAAACACTCTGACCCAGCCAAAACGGCTTTCTCCTTGCTTTCCAGTACTCCCAGATTGCAATCTCACACACACACGCGGGGCTCAGCCAAGTCTCGGGCTCGTCCATTGCTTTGCTGCATGGAGGTTTCACCCATCTTCCTTTGCCAGGCGGTTTCCATGACTTTGCTCCTCTTCCTCCTTTGTTCCCAGCAGCTTGGGGACAAACTGAGTGATTTCTGTTAACAAAAGGGATCCTGATTGAAGGGGAACCCGGTGTTGTGATGCATTGGTTGGATGGGGAGACCATTGCGGTTGCTGGGAGCAGGAGTGGTGGCTGGGACCCCTGTGTCCCTACTTCTCCCCAGCACTGCTGGCCATTGAGTAAAGCTCCAAGGTTGTTAAATACCTGTTGTACTTGCAAGGACGTGTAGTTCCTTCCCTATTGTAAAGGTGGGGATTCCTCAATGGATGCAAAGAGCAGCCACGCATTGAGTGAAGTTTAATGGTCTGGGATGGAGGTTTTCCTGCATCCATACCCTGCGGTGGCAGGGATGAGGGTGGTGGGTTGCGGCTGTCCCCCATCACACCACACTGAGCCTGCAGGGCTGAATGCTTGTGCTCCCGATTGACAAAGCCCTGATTTACATCCCTTTAAAGTGGGATTTCCATCCCCTCTCTGAGCTCCTGAGCTCTCTGAGCATCCTCTCTGAGGAGCTCAGGACCACGCCAGCGAGCACAGGATGAGGCCTAGAATAACTGTCCTACTAAAATAAACCCCAGGCATCTATTCATAGCCAAACTTTCTTTCGAGTAGTGTAAAACAGCTCCAGCATCCAAAAGGACGGGGAGAACAAGGCTAAATTCAGCAGAGCTGAGCTTCTCTGCGTTCCAAAGACCACAACCAAAGGCAATAAATCTCCTTCCAAACCCAAGGGGGATTCTTAATTACTCCAGATCCATTAAAAGCATGAAACAATCAGCAGCTCTGCTTTAGCAAGGATGCTGAAAGTCACGTAGGGGCCTGCCGGTGCCCCTGCTGAGGGTCTCCCCACTGTTGTGGGGTGAGGGTTTGGGCTGGGGCTGAGCCGGGCGCGATGCCCAGGCACGGTGCTGGCTCCTGTGTTGCGGGCTCATCCCTGCGTGTTGCTGGCATCGATCCTCTGGGATGGCAACAGGAGTGGGATGGGAAGTGAGGAGTTCAGCCTGGGCTTTGCAGTGGGTATGGGGGATGCCCCGAGGTCCTTGCAGTGGGTATGGGGGATGCCCCAAGGTCCTTGAAGTGGGTATGGGGGATGCATGTGGGGAAAATCCCCCTTCCCCATCCCTGCTGGCACAAAGGATACCAAGATCATGGGGAATGGGGATGAGCAGATCCAGAGATCCTTTATCAACATCTCCCTCTAATGTAGAGGGAATCAGACCCTGGGAGGCAAGGTCCATTCGAGGATGTGGCATCAAACCCAGTGAGATGCCTTTCTCTTGATGCCAACAGGAAGGCCAACGAGATGCATGGGCTTTGCAGTGGTGATGGCCCCAAGGTCCCTGCAGTGGGTATGGGGCATCCAGGTGGAGAAAATCCCCCTCCTCCATCCCTGATGGCATGGAGGAAGCCAGAATCAAGGGGAATGGCAAATATGGGGCTAAGCAGAATCACGGGCCCTTTATCAACATCTCCCTTTGCTGCAGATGGCGGTGTTTGGGATCAGACCCCAGGAGTCAAGGTCCATTCAGGGATGTGGTTATCCCACACGGCATCAAACCCAATGGGATGCCTTTGCCTTGCCCTGGGTGCCGAGCTGGCTCCTCCAACCTCCTTCCTGCCCCATGTAACGAGCTCTGTCCTTGTCCTTGCCCAGAAACCAAGGTCAAACCCACTGACGAAGCAGCCACCACGCGCTGTGGCAAGAACCCCAACCGCGTCCTGGTGTACATGTTCGTGCCACCGAGCTCCGGGTCCTCCAAGGAGATCCTCAGGACGATGGCAGTGGAGAAGGAGCCTGCAGAAGAGGTGGAAATCTACAACTGGAAGCTGATTAAAGGTGGGTCATGGCCCGCAAGCAGCCGGCAATGGAGGAGGTGTGTGGAAACGTGCTGCTTTCCAAGCTTTGTTCGTGTTCTCAGGCGTTCCTAGTGGTGCTCCAGACCTCATGGGGTGAGTGCAGAGCTGCTGACAGCAGGCTGGCTCCTCCAGCTCCATCCTGCTGCACTCTTTTGCCGTGGGTTGCATGGAGATCAGGGGCTGGAAACCACTCCTGGCCCCAGTGTGTGCCATCATGAGCTGTAACAGCAGCCGGAGGTACGGCACGTGGGCAAACAAGGGCCATGGCTTCTCCTCCAAACCTGCCCTGGCTTTCATGCCAAATGCATATGGAAAGCAAAGCAAAACAATGTTCTGGTCACTCTTTTGTTCATTGCTGGAGCAAAGCTTGCAGAGATGCTGCAGAGATGCACACGGAGGGGATGAATTGGCCCCAGCTCACTTTTGGGATGGGCGGATCTGGATGCTCCTGTTGGGGTGTCCTCCAGATAGCACACCATCAGTGACACCCATCTCTTGCTCTCTCTTCACACCTTTAGCTTTACAACACTCTTGCACAGCAGAAGAGCCTATCTCTGCTAGGGACACTTGTGTTTCTATTGGGCATGGGAATGCATTGCAGTGTCCCAAGCCCAAGTCTCCATTGGACAAACTCTACCCCTTGCAAAAAGCTGTGCCTTGAGCACTTGAGGTTGGTCAGACCCTACTTATGGATACAGTGAACCTTGATCCATGTCTTCTGGATGAGTGCAGGCAAATAGTGGTCTCTTGGGCATGCTCCTGTCTTACATCACTCCCTTAGGAGACCTCCTGTGGCTGCGTCTTCAATGGGGAGCACATGTGGATAGGAGTCAGAGATGGAGCCCTGGCTGCCACCCCGTCTCCATCCTCCCCAGTGCCCCTCTCCCCAGCCTCCCCCCTTACCCCGGCACAATGGCACCTTGTGGCTGGAGGACACTCTGAGCCTGCACTGTCTGGGCCCCACCGCTTCCTCCCCTCGCTCCTTGGCAGAGGTTGCCACCCAAAACCTTCTCGCCACCTCCCGAGGCCAAGAGCTTCGTGTCTGCTCCTGAGCCCTGCCAGCCAAGGACAGGGGAGGCCCTTGTCCCCGAGGCCAACACAGCTCTTTTGCTTGGCACAGCAAAGTGTTACTATTGGGAAAGAGCATGAGCTCAGGCACATATGGATTCCACCTCACCATGGTCCATCACTCTACCAACAGAGCAGCGTGTGTGGGGAAAGGAGCCCGCAAGTCACGCCTGGAGCCCGTCCATCTGCCTTTGTATGGGTTGATGGTACCTACGTGGCTTCTTCTGTTCCTGTGTTTCCTCTTTGGGGCTGGAGTTGAGAGGAGAAACCAGTGCCAGCGCCAGGCTGGAACCTGGTGATGGGACATGACCAGCCCCGATGAGCTGCAATGGGGGTTCCCCATGGTTTTAGGGGTCGGGACACCTCAGTGACTTTGGAAAGAGACTTTCTGATGGTTTAGAGCAGGAATTGTCATAGGGAGAGAGGGCAACAAAGGAGCAAGGAGGATCAGAGAGGGACCAGCATGGTTTGGAGTCTCTGTTGTTGACTCCTGCCTTGCTGGATTGCACTGGAGGTGCAGCATCCCTATGGATCTCTTCCTCCCATTTCCCCTGCCAGGATGCTGAATAGACTTTGACCAAACTATTCCTTTCTACCTTGAACACCTGCACCTCGGGGACCTTCATCAGTCCCCAGTGTTTCACCACACTGGTACATCCCCATACCACCCACCTGCCATCCGCAAGCTCTTCCATCATTTGCTTGATGATCTCCTGCCATAAAGACTCTGCAGCCCATCCCACCCCTTCCAGAGCCACAGAGCCTTTGCTAACGAAAGGCTTTTCACCATGTTCAGCCTTCTTCCAGCTCGAGCTCCTGCCTTCTCATCCTCACCATTGTGGCCGTGAAGAGAAGGCTCCTTTCCTCTGAGGATGCCATCAGCTCCCACCTCTGTCCTCTTTTACATGGTTTAAGGTTGAAGTTTTACGTGGTTTAAACTCGGTTTAAGCTGAATTTATTCCCACTCTTTAGACTCATAGAATAGTTTGGGTTGGAAGGGACCTTAAGATCATCCAGTTCCAACCCCCTGCCATGGGCAGGGACACCTCACACTAAGCCATGGCACTCAAGGCTCTGTCCAACCTGGCCTTGAACACTGCCAGGGATGAAGCATTCACAACCAACCTGGGCAACCCATTCCAGTGCCTCAGCACCCTCACAGGAAAGAATTTCCTCCTTATATCCAATCTAAACTTCCCCTGTTTCAGTGTGAACCCATCACCCCTTGTCCTATCACTGCAGTCCCTAATGAAGAGTCCATCCCCAGCATCCCTATAGGCCCCCTTCAGACACTGGAAGCTGCTCTGAGGTCTCCATGCAGCTTCTCTTCTCCAGGCTCAACATTCTCAGCCTACCTTCATCCCATAAAGCCTCTTTGGTGCTTGCAGGCACCATGGGCTACTCTTATCCACACCTCCCAGTGCATGCTGGAGCATCAGCTGCATTCATTCCTCCACTGCTCCCAGCTCCCATCCATCAGAGACAACCAAAGGTCTCCACCTCGGAGGGCTCTTGGGTGGCTGTTATTGAGGTGGGGTGATGAGGAGATGTTTGTCTCTTGGAGCTCTTCTTTAAAATACCCTCTTGGTTGCTAATGTCATGGAAAGGGCCTCACCAGCCACGGGGACCGCTCGCACCCCCTCCTGCTCCTTGCTAAGTATAGACCAGGAGGATTTAGTGAACACTTGGGCCATCAACACTTCTATTATCTCCATCCAGCATCTTCTTTTGTTCCTGGTAGCACTTCTCCTCCTGACCCCCTTCAAGGGCTTATTCATAGCTCAAAGAGCCACATATTTCCCCTTACGGCTTTGACTTCCTGTCTTCATCCCCCCTTAGTCCATAACATCCCATTTATATGGATTCCTTGCCCATTTCTTTTCCTCACACACTCTCTATTGTGTAATTCCTGCTGGGAATCAGGGAGAGCCTCCTAACCAAATAAGGGGGGGATGTTGCCTCTCACATCAGCAGTGGAGCCTGGGTGAGAGGTGGGGAAGGATGTGCCAGGAATACCTGCCTGCTTTGTCACGCTTCCCAGGCAAAGCTGAGCATCACAGCCCCTAATCCTGCAGAAAGGTCACTTCCATTGCTCAACGCAGGTTCTGGTTCTCCTGGGTCAAACATGTGAGTCAGGCAGCTCTGTTAATGGGATGCTGCTGGCACAGGCAGGAATAGCAACCTCTGCTGAGGGCATTTATGGGGTTTTATCTCTCCTGGAGGAGTTTCAGGGCTGAGGGCAGAGAGATGGAAAACCCTGGTCCCTGAGAGCATCCAGGAAAGGAAAGCATCCAAGGATGGAGGGGACTATGCAGTGGGGGAGGATGGAGTGAGCAGAGAGGACAGGGATCCCAGGACCCCATTGGTTTAATCTTTTCTCTTATGGTTTGGGGGCAGCTCAAAGCTCCTCCAATGTGAGATGCTTTTTGGAGCAACAAAACCTTACTGCTACCAGGTGTTGTCCCTGCTGTGTTCTGATGTGATGAGCAGTTTTCAAATGGGATCTCTCCTTGATTCACTCCCAAACCCCAACCAGGCTCAGTGGCACAGGTCCTGCACCAAAGCAGGGTGATGAAGGCAGCATCCCTTTTACATCTCGGCAGGGGACAGAGGAGCGGACATCCAAACCTGTCTGAGCCCTCAAACCTGATTCCCTGTGGTTCCCTCTGCAGGGATCTTCCATCTGATCCAGACCAAGAAGATCAGCAAGCAGGAATTCAAGCAGGAAGCACACAACTTCAGACTCATCACCAGGACGAACGAAGGTAGGGAGGCAAAAATCCCAGCTCCCCACTCGTCCAGCCCCAAACAACCCCGTGTTTTGCTGCCCATTCCACAAAGGGCTTCATGTATCCCGGTGGTGTGGTGTGGGGAGCTGATCCATAGGGAGAAGACTTAGAATCATAGAATAGTTTGGGTTGGAAAGGACCTTAAGATCATCCAGTTCCAGCCCCCTGCCATGGGCAGGGACACCTCGCTCTAGACCATATAACCCAAGGCCTCATCCAACCTGGCCTTGAACACTGCCAGGGATGGAGCATTCACAACATCCTTGGGCAACCCATTCCAGTGCCTCAGCACCCTCACAGGGAAGAGCTTCTGCCTTATCTCCAACCTGACCTTCCCCTGTTTCAGTCTGAACCCATCACCCTTGTCCTATCACTGCAGTCCCTAATGAAGAGTCCATCCCCATCGTCCCTATAAGCCCCCTTCAGATACTGGAAGGATGCTCTGAGGTCTTGTCCAGACATAGCTGGGTTGGACCTGCCCCTCATCCGCAACACTCCTGGTCAGCAGTCACACTTCCCCTTGATGATGCTGGAAAGGGCAGCCAGCTTTCTAAAAGTGGACTCAGGCTTGTGTAATCCACAGGCTTTGTGGCTCCGAAGCATGTAAACCTGTTGGATTTTATCCCATTGAATCCATCTGGCATCACGGGCGGAGGGGGGAAAAGAGGGAATTAAGCAAGGGATTTGAGGAAAATAAACCCTTGAGGTAGTTTGGGAACTCATCCGTAATGTTCTTGGATGGGGGAGATGCTCCAGGGAGCAGGAACGCCGGGGCACTAAAGTGCTTTCCTGCTGGCTGCCTCTTTGCCTGGGCTGGGATCAGCTGCAATGGGTTCGGTTTGGGTCGGAGCCGTTCCCATCTTGTCCAGCACCCCCAGTTCACGGGGTCGGCTGGGAACGGTGCTGCTGCCCAGTGCATTCCATCACACCCAGTGCCCCAGGGAGGGAGCTTTGTTTTCACCTCCCATCCACTTAAGGCAGCATCTCTTGGCCAATGGGGGATTTTCAAGTCCCTGCTTCCAGGTCAGGCTTTGGACCCTCGGTGGGATCTCTGGCTCTGTCCCCTTGTTCTCACCTCGGTTTCCCTTCACCAACAGCCCTGTTGTGAAACCCTCCCTCTGCCGCCCGCCCTAGGAAAGCGCTGCCCATAGATTTCCTCACAACAGGAGATTAATTCAGCCAGGAAATATTCCCTCCCTTGGGAATGACGACACCAGGGCTGCATAATCCTTGCTGGGATTACGAGGGAAGCAACAACCAAGGGGGAAAGCATCTCCAGCTCCCTCCTGCACACATGGGGATGCTGGGGTTTGAAGGGGGAGCAAGGAGAGGGGTTGGGGTGCTTTGTGATGGGTTTTGGGGTGTTTCCCAGCTCCCATCAATGCATTTGCTTTGTGTTGCACAGCAGTGAGGCTGTGGAGGGACCTAAGGGGGTTTCTTCTCCTTAAACAGGGGGAGTTCAGGTTGGAGATAAGGCAGAAGCTCTTCCCTGTGAGGGTGCTGAGGCGCTGGCACAGGGTGCCCAGAGAAGCTGTGGCTGCCCCATCCCTGGCAGTGCTCAAGGCCAGGTTGGACACAGGGGCTTGGAGCAAGCTGCTCCAGTGGAAGGGGTCCCTGCCCGTGGCAGGGGTTGGGAATGGAGGAGCTTCAAGGTCCCTTCATCCCAACCCAGCTCCATGATTCTATGATCTTGCCCTACCATAGGTGGTTACAAAGCCCTGCACAAAGAGCCAAGTGGCTTCCAAGGAAAGCATTGGGAATGCCATTGGTTGTGCTGTGAATTGCATTTCAGGAGGTGCACAGGGCCCCTCTTCACCCCAAATACCATTTTAATGGCAATTCTAGGACTGTAGCAGCACTGCTGAGTTGCTCTGACCATGGCCACCGTTGTGGGTAGACCTCTCCCAGCGTGGTTCTTGGAGGTCCTCCATTGCAGAAGGGGCTGTGCATGGGGTGAATCGTGCTTGCCTGCTCCAAGGGTTGCTGCTCATCCGTGTCCATCTCCATTCATCCAGGTCACTGGAACATCTTCCGAGCCCAGACATCAGAGCTGCGGATGACAGAGAGCCCAGAGAAAGACACAAAGAACTTGTAATGAGAGCAAACTCGAACCTAGCTCTTGATTTATGTACACACCCCATACACACATACACCTATATAGGAAGTACAAAGCCTCATTACTCAATAGACTGGCACAGCAGTAAAGGATGCACTAGTGTAAACTACAGAGCCTCCAGCAACGGAGCCCAACTGAACCACGTGGAACCACAGCCGTGGAGGTGCCTCTCTCCAATGGGAGAGCACAAGAGGTTGGCCATCACCTCCTGCGACAAAGAGGTTGGATGTGTTGGAAGAGATGTGAGACCTGGAGCGACATAAAGAGGTGGGATACACCCCTGACACCCAGCGCCCTGAAGAGCATCAGCAGTTAGCAGCAACCATGACCGTGCTTCTTTCCAACCACCAGCATGAAGATGACCTGCAAGGAAAGAAAAACCATCCCTATTCTTTCCCTTGGAGCCCCTGTGCCCTGCAAAGGGTTTCCTTGGATAAATACCCCCCAAAGGGTATCCCTGGAGAAGTCTTGGGTCTTTGCTCCAGCCAGGATTCTTTTCCCTTCTTTGCAGGTCTCTTGAAGATGGAGTTTTTGGGAGGACCCACCTGCTGATGGGGTCTGAGACCCCAAGTGCTGCACTAAGGTCTCTACCGAGCATGTTATTATGCTATATATCTATCTATATCCTACATAATATCTACTGGGCTGTATTCACAGGAGGGGCATCTCCCAAAGGGCGAACAGGACCATTTCTGCAGCGTGGGGAGGAGGGGGTGCAGCAGCATCGCCCTCCCCCTGTCTGGAACCAGCTTTGGGGGATTTTCAGGTTGTTTTGGTACATGTATTTATCTCTGGTTTTATGCTGTTTTGATAAATCTATTTATTTGGAGATCCAGAGCTGTCTGATAAATCTGATTAAAGCGTCTTGATTCAGCCTCCTGTGCTGGCTCTCCTTTCCCCATAGGGTCTGTGTCATGAGAGGGGTGAGATCCCCATCCTGGTGGGGTTGGACCCCCATCCTGCTGGGGTCTGAGCCCATTGGACTCACTCAGCAAACATCCTCAGGGTTGGGATGCGGGATTGAGGCCTGCTGAGAGCACCTGGGGATGCTCTGCTCAGCATCGGGGGCTCATTGTAGGATCCCAGAGTGGTTTGGGTGGAAGGGACCTTAAAGCTCCTCCAGTTCCAACCCTTCCCACTAGAGCAGGTTGCTCCAAGCCCCTTGTGCATGGGTGGTTTGGGCTCTGGGTGCTGGAACAGACCATAGCTCCCAGTTGGGTGTTGCAGAAGCTGTCGGTGTGGGATGGTCATTGGAGATGCTGTGGGGTTGTGAGTTGGGACTGGGAGGTCCCATCCAGCTACTGGAGAGCCCATGGGACCCAGGGAGGCCATTCAGGGTGTACACGGGCTTCCAGCTGTGGCATCTCCTGAGTGACACAACACAGGGAGCCTCACTCCTCAGATGGGTACCCCAGGGATGGAACATACATGAGCCTGTCCTGAATGCCCAGCATGGGGCAGCTTTGGACATGGTGAGCATCCGCTCGCCCTTGAAAATCAATGGTGCCTTCCCAACATGGGGAAACCCAAACCCAACCTGGAAAACTCCCAAATCCATCTTCTAGGACACCCAAAGGGATCCAAGTCCTTCTGAGCCGCAGCAAAGGCTTTCCATAGCCAACCTTTCCATAGGGATGGCTCAAGCTTCACCCATTCAAACCCAAGGGCCTAGGATGACATGCTCTAGTGGAAGGGGTCCCTGCCCATGGCAGGGGTTGGAACTGGATGAGCTTTAAGGTCCCTTCCATCCCAAACCTGACTCCATGGAAAGCATCTGGAAGAGGGGCACATCCAGAGCAGAGCTCTTTGCTATTTGGACACGTGCTCAAACTCTTCTCCTCTGCTCCTTCCCAAGCCACCACGTTCCCATTTGGAGACCCCAACAGGTAGCTCAGTGAGGCCCATTGAGGTACCCGGTTGCTCCACAGCCCTTTGCCCTTGTGTCTAATGGGTCCCTGAGCATCAGTCTCCTTGTCGGTGCAGCTGGGAGGCAGAAGGGGGTGTCCAGGCCAAGCAATCCTTCTTACTTCATTTCCAAGTGTTTTCAAAGCCCCTGATCAGACGGCCCAGATGGTGCTAAATGGCCATGAAGAACCTTGAAACACTGCTTTATTGTTGAGTTAGAGAATCCTGATGGGCCTGAACTAATTCATTTCGACCCAAAGAGGAAAGCACTGAATCATGGGCCTTTGGCAGTGCTGCTGAGAAGCACTCGGAAGCGGTTCCCTTTGGGTTTATCCAGCCTCTACAAACAGGGATCTCCACCAGGAGCTGCCTGCAGGCAAGAGGAGAGTAAGGAAACCCCAATGCACCACAGAGGGCAGCACGGGCAGCGCTCCCGCATCCCACGGGGCAGGAGGACCACGGGATGCTCCCATCGGTGTGTCCAACCTCCCCTTTGGAACCCCCCACGTTTGGGGATGGCCACATAAGAGGACAGAGAGGCAGGAGGAAAGAGACCTTGGGGCCATGGTTGTGCTGTGCCAGTCACGTTTCCTCCACCTCCCATCCCTCCTCAGCTCCAGCCCCGTCTCCAAGGGTTTACCTGGTTTTCTCATCACCAGAGGCTTTTTCCAGTGTCCAGATTGCCCTGGCTTGCTGGAAAAGCTGTTTTCTATAGAGGCATTGCTCTCGGTTCCCATTTTGGGGGTGTCAGAGCTTTGCCATAGCTGGAGGCAGCGAAAGGCGATCTCATTTCCCCAGCAGCTCGCATTAAAGCCGTTGGATTAGGTACATCCTGAGCAGCTCCTGCATCCAAAGAGGAGCAGGACCAGGAGACAAGAGCCATTACAGACACATTGCTATGTGAGAAGAGACAGGAAATATCAGGGGTGTTTAGTCTGGAGGGGAGACAGGCCCGTGGTGGCACGGGAACAGCGGAGAGCCGAGCAGCACCGCGATCCTCTGCTTTCCCCATTGCTCCCCGCTGGGAAAGAAAGGGATGTGCAGAGGAAAGCGGATGCAGGCACAGCGTGAGGGGCTCTGGGATGCTGCAAGAGCCCTTGTTAAGGGCAATCCCATCCCTTTGTGCAGAAATCCCTTTCTTTGGCTGGGGGAAGGTGATGCAGGAGCATCCATCCCCATCCATTGGGAGATGCTTCACGGAGGAGCCAAACCTTCAAATCACCACCAGGGCTGTGGGTTTCATGCAGCACTTTGAGGGCAGCACCAAACCCAACCAAACCTTCTCTGGTGTGGCTTAATTTGCCTCCTAATTACCCTAATGATGTATGGGCACCTCAAACTGAGCTGTGCAAGTCACCGACACCGCTCTTCCCTCTTGCCCAGTGGGGAACAAGGCTCCAGTGATGGTAACCAAGAGGTGTTGGCTTCCCCTTCCCTCCCGAGCCTGCAGGGAAGGGGGGCTCATGCAGATTAAGGTGAAAGGAGATATTTTGCATGACTGCAAATGCGATGCAATGGAAAACAGCAGGAGCCAAGGAGGTTTGAGTGGAGCTGGCAATTATAGAGACATATAGTGTCGAGAAGTGTTTTGACTAACCTGATAATAGAGCATGAAATAGCAGGGCTCTGACGTAAAAAAAGCCCTAAGATCCCGGAGGGAGAGCCAAGATTCCTGGTGGTGACTTGCCATCCGTCCTGGAGCACGCAGCCACGGGGTAATTCAGGTTGGAAGGACCCCAGGAGGTCCCTGGTCCAACCTCCAGGGATAACGTGGACTTACATCAGGATGCTCAGGTGTGGGTCCAGGGAAGGGTTCAGTTCCTCCAAGGTGCTTCCCTTGGTCCCTGTTGCGGTGTTTGATCAGCCTGAAGGGGAAATCTGTCCTGGTGTGGTGCATCTTCATCTAACCTGGGTCCAGCAACCACTGCCTGCCCAGTACTGGGGACCCGAACAGTGCCCAGATGCTCCGTGCAGAGAGCGAAGGAGGCTCAACGCAGGTTGCAGCAGCCATGGGATATGTGATGCACCAGATCACAACAAGAGGGCTGGAGGGACACTCAGCTCCCATAGGAGAGCAGCAGGAGATCCAGGCCCTGCAGAAGTGGGAGATGGGGCCCTGCAGAAGCAGTCGCAAGGAGCAGTTCAATCACAGCTTCTCCCTGAGGGTAGAACAGGGACTGTGGTGAGGTGATGCCTGCCCCAAGGCAGGGATGCTGCATTAAACACCCCGTGTGTTGCTGCTGCCCCATAGAGCCAAACCCCTTCCAATGGGAGAGATGCTGCCGTGCTCTCATTGCAATGGGTACATCTGCAGTGCCCCCAGGGAGCCCAGGGCACGTTCACTGGAGCAGTTACTCAGGGGAGCTCAAAACTGGCTCTGGTTGAACCCATGTGCAAATGCTGGTAGGATCCTGGAATGGTTTGGGTTGGAAAGGACCTTAGGATCACCCAGTTCCACCCCATGCCATGGGCACGGACACCTCGCACTAAACCAGGGCACCCAAGGCAGAAGCTGGTAGAAGCTGAGCGGGTGCATGCAGGGTGCAAACCCCATCAGTGCCCCCTGAGCCCTTCTTGCAGGGCCAGTGTCAGGGCCCATGGCAGGATCTGGACAGAGCCAGGTTGAGAGAGCTGGGCTGGGGCAGCCTGGAGAAGAGAAGGCTCCTGAAGGGGAGACCTGAGAGCAGCTCCAGTGCCTAAAGGGGCTGCAGGAAAGCTGGAGAGGGGCTTGGGACAAGGGCCTGTAGGGCCAGGCCAAGGGGAATGGCTTGAACCTGCCCGAGGGGAGACTGAGCTGAGCTCTTAGGCAGAAGCTCTTCCCTGTGAGGGTGCTGAGGCGCTGGCACAGGGTGCCCAGAGAAGCTGTGGCTGCCCCATCCCTGGCAGTGTTCAAGGCCAGGTTGGACACAGGGGCTTGGAGCAAGCTGCTCCAGTGGAAGGGGTCCCTGCCCGTGGCAGGGGTTGGGAATGGAGGAGCTTTAAGCTCCCTTCAACCCAAACCATTCCAGGACCCTCCAAACCCCCCATAGGACGCCCATCCCTGCACACTCAGCATCACAAGAGATTTAAGGTCCCACAGCCCCGAGGCAGCTCTGCCCCCACATCAACCCCATCTTGGGGTGGGAAGGGGGTGATCCCTGCAGAGGCAAAGGGACACAGGAGCAGGAGCGGGGCGAGGGAGGCGATGCCACCGACCGCGAGACGTCGGCTCCTGATCTCTGGCTGCTGATCCAATTAAAAGGGTTAATCCCAAAGAGGCCCCTGTGGGGAAAGCGGCCTCTAAGAGGTCTCCTGTGGGGAGCTGTGGTCACTGGGGCAGG